ACTCTAAACCACAGCAAGTTATGACAGTACTTTTCCTCTTCCTGACAAAAGAGGTTCAAAAACAAGGAAGAAAAGAAGCAATTTTTGAGTTTCACTAAACTTCTAATTTGTTACAAAACACACCTTGGCAGATTAGCTTCCATAACTTCTTGTGGAAGGGACTGCATTAGTTTAACCATGGCAAACGCTAATGGAACGCGAACCACTTCCTCATCATTCACAACCTTTGACTTGATGAGCTTGTGTTCTTCTTCTCTTTTAGTCTACAAGAAACATTTAGGTTAAGTTAAAATGAAAGTAAATGGATCAGTGATCTACCAACACTGCAACCTTGCATTTGAAAGACAAATTTTTCTAGAAGGATGGATGATCATTTAAAAAAAAGAAAGAAAAGAAAGGCAGCCCTTTCTATAGATCTTAAGCCCATTTCTAAGTTTATTTAAAAATAAACCAAATCTCTAATTTGAGGATAGCTCTCTAAAAATTATAAAAATAACAGGAGTAAGAATGTTCTACTTTTCAAAGAAGCCATCAGAAAAAAAATAAAGCCAAATTTTCACCAGTGTGGATTTTCACTGCTGTGAAGTATAGGAAGCTCATATAAAATGTGTATCAGTTGGAACAGTCAAGTGTTTGAGTGACGCTGTTAGTATATATAAATACAGGGCCTCAAATAAAAGTTTATTTACAAATATACAAAATATACAAAAATATAAATCAATATTATATGCCAGGAGTTAGCAAACTTTCTCTGAAGAGGGCCAGATAGTATTTTTGGCTTTATGGGCTCTGACTTAACTCTGATGTTGTGATAAAAAGTTAGTACTAAACACTATGTAAACAAATGGGTATTGTGTTCCAATAAAGCTATACAAAAACAGGCCACAGGCTAGATTTAGTCCCTGAGCCATTGTTGGCCAACCCATGTTTCACCCTGAGAAGGAAAGAAAGGCTTTGGCTTCATGAGAACGCACTGCTAAATATTATCTCTGTTAACTAAGAGAAAGATGAATTTTGAATAGTGCAGAACTGACCAAAAAGTACGAAAGGGAAACATATTCTAATTTTTAATAACCTTTTTGGGACACGGGAGTCTCTTAATAACTACTTTGGAGATGGAAAAGCATTTATCTACCATATCAAAATCATAAAGAATGAGTGTTACTGCTTAGTTGCAGCAGGATAAGCCTGAAGTTGAAGGGATAAGAGTAGAGGGGTGAATTGTGAAGTGTTGAGATAAAAGGAAATCTAAAAGCTGAAATCAATCAATAATCACTAAGAGCCCCAGGGTGACAGGGCTCCACCAACACCAGAATTCACACAGACCTGCTGGACCCCAAATAAAGTTATTACCGTAGATGCAAGGCATTTATGTAGCCTGGGTAGAATATCCCCGGTTATGGTTCCTTGGATATTTTTAATTGTTCTCTCTAATTCTTCCTTGTTTTGAGGAAGGAAAGAGACAGGCTTTGTGATACACTCGGATTCTTTCGCTGATGTCCCTCCAGAGTCAGCTGGATCAGGGGTTCCCGGCTGTCCGTGGTCTGACAAACTCTTGCATGTATTGTCCTTCTCTTCCTCATCCACGTGCTCTAATTCCATGGCCTCAGGCTCTGGTAACTCAATTGCTTCAATGGCATCTATGTTTAATAAACAACAAAAGTCACCTTAAATCAAATAAGGAAACCACAAAGTTGTGGTAAGCAGTTTTTCCCACCAACATCCAACTTCCGATAAAAAATATCTAATCAGCAACTGTGGGCAGGCAAGGTAAGTGCTGAGGAACGAGCAGTAAATGAGAGGACTATGGGCTTTGCTTTCTCACAGTTTAGAGTTTAATGAGAGAGACAAATAAACTGCCGATTATAAAAGAACACAGAACAGCAAGTACAGGGTAAAAGGGGAACACACTAGGAGGCTTGCGGGGCAGGAACGTCTTAACCAAATAAAGCACCTCCATTCATGAGCATGAAAATCCTAATGACAGCCAACTGCCCATAGAGTCTTTGTCAGTTTCTGGTATGCGATTACAACAATTTTACAAGTTAGTGAGGATTCCTCTTTTCCAATCATCTGGAATAGCTGGTATAGGTTGAAATGATCTACCCCTTGAATGGTTGGTAAAACTTAGCTATAAACCAATCTGTGCCTAGTGTTTTCATCAGATGATTAACTGCAGATTCAATTTTTTTTTTTTTTTT